CGATCAAAATGCCAGCAGAGCTTTCTATAAAATGTGCGTCTAAATTTCATCCGAGGAGAACATGAGCAAGAATAGCACCCACCACAAAACAACAAGGCAAAAGCAAAAACAGGGGGACTAGACTTACCAGATATCAAAACAATGTTATCACTCTAGGAAACCAAACAGTATGGTTTTGTTATCAGAACAGAGAGATGGATCACTTTAACAGACATGTAAATCCAGAAGTGTACCACCTATGAATGGGAATGTAGCATATGGCAAAAGGGGTATTTCAAGTTAGTGGTGTTTTTAAACTGACTGAATCACTAATGAGGAGTTACTTAGCAAATGGTATTGGACTATTAGTTATCCGTTTGGGGGAAAAAAAAAATGGATCCCTATCTCCCATCATGTATGAAAATACATTTTACTTGAATTTGTTGGGAGCCAGTAGTCTAGTGGGCTCATTCTCCAACATATCCTACTGCTTTGCCAAGAATGCAAGACCCAGGCTATTCCCCAGCACCATGTTTGCAGTGAGCATCCTTGAGGGATGAAATAGCATCTCTCTCTGCTACAAAATGGCTGGTTCCTTGAGCTAAGTGCTCTTCTCCTGTCTTGGAAAATGGTGCTCTGCACCATTCCTGTGAGTCTTGGGGGCAAGAGAAACAGAAACAAACACGCTGAATCTCATGCTGCCCCTGTGCTATGAGAAATAAGGCCCTTTGTCTCTGACCCAGGAGTCTCGTGTGCTCTGCTAGAATCCATGAAAATATAACAAGGTAGCTAATTACCTAAAAGGTAGAGTAAAATCAAATCCCAAGACCTGACAGGATTCAAAACAAAAATGGAAAGAAGTAAAACTATAGAAGTATCAGACGAAAATAGGGGGTATTGGGCGCCTGGGTGGCTCAACCGGTTAAGCGTCTACCTTTTTTGGCTCAGGTCATGATCCCAGGGTCCTGGGATCAAGCCCCACATTGGGCTCCCTGCTCAGCAGGAAGCCTGTTTCTTCCTCTCCCACTCCTCCTGCTTGTGTTCCCTCTCTTGCTGTGTCTTTCTCTGTCAAATAAATAAATAAAATCTTTAAAAAAAAAAAAAGAAAGAAAATAGGGGGTATTATTTTTATATCCTGGAGCTGAAAAATAAAAAAAACAACACTTTTAAGAAAGACACAAAATCCTGAAATTATAATTTTTTAAAAAGATGTTATAGATAAAAATAAAAGACAAGTGCACCTTGATAGAAAATATTTTTAACACATATTAAGATCATAATATGAGAGAATACCTCCCAAAACTCAGTGAGAGCCTAATAAAAATGGGTAAAGCACATAAATAGGCAGGAAATTCACACAAAAAATATGTGGCCAATAAATATGTAAAATGATCCTTACCTCACTATTAATAATAGAAATGCAAATTCAAATGAGAATGAGATAATATTTCACCCATGAGACTAGAAAATTTAAAGACCGAATCTCCAGCATTAGTGAGGATATGGCAAAACACTCTTGGTTAGATTACGAACTGGGGCAGCTCTTTTGGAGAGCCATTTGATTATATCTATAAAAATTACATTTAAACATTTTTTGAGCTATGGAATCATTTTCTTTTTTTTTTTTTTTGCAAGCAAAACCAGTTATTGAATTCTAGCATATAAAATATAGAGCACAGCTGTTCGGGTGAAGTAGAGGTGGGGGCCCTGTCATGCTCTGTCTCACCTCCCCTCATGCTGCATCCCTCCCCATGTCCCACGACACAACCAAGTCAGAACTTCACGGACGTCAGGCCCAGGAACCACTGGGCCAGGGCGGTGTGTGAAATCAGTTACCTTTATTGGTCTTTGGACTGAAATGAAAGCACGCCACAGGATTTTGCTGTGGTGTGGGACCGCTTAGTAAAGGGAACCAGTCCCAGATAATCAAATCTTTCCTCAGAGTACTGAGAATATTATTCCCAGATTTATCTCACCACTATGTTTGGAACGAGCAGAGCTGACACTGAGTATGAGAAACTGTTTGAAACAAAGAAAATCCCATCAACTCAAGGTTTAAAAAAGCAGCTGTTGAGCCTGGTGCTTAATCAAGAAAAAAAATAAATAAAGCAGACCAGGCAAGAAACACCTGGATCAGGAATAATTGAACAAGCTACGCGAAGAGCAAGATTGAAGAAGTCTTTGCAAATCGCTTACGTGGGAACTGAGATAATAAACCCTTGAAGCATTTTATCTGCAATTTGTACAGAAAATTCAGAATTTATTTGTTTAAAAAAACCGACTTCAAATGGATCAAACAAAAGATCGCTTGCCTGGATGCTAGGATTATCTGAAGACGGTGATTCCAGAATCCTCTGAAGCCCTTCCCAACTGCATTCCCTCCTTACAGTTTCCTGAGGAGCCCCTGCTGTAGCCACATCATCCTGTTTTTACAAAGCCTACCTTTGAGCCTCCTGCTAGGCTTTCCATCATTAAATTAGACCCCAGACAATAGACCACAGAGGGAATGGCCTAGGGTCATAGCAGGATGCTGAGTCAGGCAGGAGAAGCCCATCAGCTCCCTCCCTGGGGTATTTCCTAGAAAAGGTTTTAGCTCAGCACTAATGTGTAAGTCGCTTCTCTCACCTGTGAAGAAAATCAGGCAATTCAGAGATGTGGGAGTTGAGGGAATAGCTGTCACATGTTCTGACTACCTCAGTGCTGATCTTTACCTCTGAGTGACTCAAGGCTATGGCCTCCAGAGAGAAATGAAGAGACACGCCAACCACACCACTTCACCCCTTACCGACGCACAACACGTAACAGCTGATGCCCGTCCACAGCGTGGCCGTCCCCTGAAGGAGGGCACCCTGGACTCACCAGGGCTTGTGAAGGTTAAGTCAATACGTGCATGGGTTTTGCCCTTCAGAAGATTATAATCCGGCCTACGAACCCTCACTCCAGTTGAGTATCAAAAGAACCTAGTGTCAACGGTATGATACAGAAATCCCGAAGAAAGTGCAAGCAGAGGAGAAACCAGTGAGGGGAGCCTACATGGAGCTGCTTTTCGAGCTCCCTGGTTCTGTATGATGCTCACCCTTGGCCACACACTGAAATCACTGGGGGGTGGGGGGGATGTGAGTAATCCTCATGCTTGCACCCAACAGGGATTCTGATGTCACTCGTCTGGACTGGGGTAGGGCCTGGGCACCAGGATATTTAAAAGCCCCCCAGGAGACTTTAATGTGTACCCATTGAGGTGATCCTGACGGACGAGCAGAATCTAGAACACCCGGCCCCTGGTGCTAAGTACCCAAGGAGAAGTCTGAAACGGCCAGTGTTCCTGGCAATAAGAACACCATTTCATGACAGCAGCTTCATGGGAGTAGCAGGAGCAGAAGGCAAACTGGCAGCAGGGTGGTGAGCTCTGCGTCATTGGTGACGGAAACTTCCAGAGCTTGTTCGTGAATGCAAGAGAAGACTGGGTGATAGAGGGTGGAGGGTGAAAAGGCCAGGAGAGGATTTAACTTTGTTTTTGTTCTTTAAGAAGAGAAACTTGGAAATATTATTCATCCATAAGAAGAAGGAAATCTGGGGTGCCTGGGTAGCGCAGTCGTTAAGCGTCGGCCTTCGGCTCAGGTCATGATCCCAGGGTCCTGGGATCGAGCCCCGCATCGGGCTCCCTGCTCAGTGGGGAGCCTTCTTCTCCCTCTCCCTCTCCCCCTGCTTGTGTTCCCTCTCTCGCTGTGTCTCTGTCTGTCAAATAAATAAATAAAATCTTAAACAAAAAAAAAAGAAGAAGAAGGAAATCCTACCATTTGTGACAACATGGATGGACCTTGAGGGCATTATGCTAAGTGAAGTCAGTCAGAGGAAGGCAAATACCGTATGATCTTACATATATAGAATCTAAAAAAACAAAATGAAAAAACCAAGCTCATAGATACAGAGAACAGACTGGTGGGTGCTGGGGTGGGCGTGGCGGGGGACATACGAAATGGGGGTGAAGGTGGGCAAAAGGCACCAACTTCGTCATAGATAAATAAGTCATGGGATGTAATGTATGGCGTCGTGACTCTAGTTAATGATACTGTATCACATACTTGAAAGTTGCTAAGAGAGTAAATCTTAAAAGTTCCCATCACAAGATAAAAGGTTTGTAACATAATAAAAATACATATGGTGATGCACATTAACTAGACTTATGGCGGTGCTCATTTTGCAATATATACAAATATTGAATCATTATGAAACTAATACAAAGTTATATGTCAATTATAGCTCAACTGTTTAAAAAAGGAGAGAAACCTGAGCTATTTACATACAGGGCAGGAAGATCTGGTAGAAGAGAGCTTGAAGAAACAGCCAAAGGGACATCCAATTAATCAAAGCCCCACAGAGACAGGGCAGGGTAGTCTGGACTAGAGCACAGACGTGATGCTTTTCTTTTGTGTGGAAAAACAGGGAAAGGGAACGCAACTTTATTTTTTGTTAAGATTTATTTATTTGAGAGAGAGCAAGAGCGTGAGCGCAAGCATGGGGGGGTGGGAGGCAGAGGAGGAGGGCGAGAGAATCTCCAGCAGATTCCATGCTGAGCATGGAGCCCGACTTGGGGCTTGATCACATGACCCTGAGATCACAACCGGAACCAAAAGCAAGAGTTGGACGCTCAACCGACTGAGCCAACCAGGCGCCCTGGGAACAGACCTTTATTAAGCATTAATTTTGCTAGAGACCAGGCTAGGTAATTCCTATAAATGATTTCATTTCATCTTTCCAGCAAATCCACCAGGACCCCTGTAACACAGAAGGTCCTGTACCCAGAATCCTGGGGATTTAGCTACTCTGTATTAGTGCCATTTCCAAACGTAGAACTCCCAAAGGTCACAGTGATCCAAAAGCCTCCTTATGAGCCCAGCATAATTTATTATGGCAAGAACTATCTACATAAGCAGTCCAACTTTAAAATAAAGAAAATGACTGACAAAAATCTGTCAAAAACATAAAATCCTGGTGTCTGTACCAACTGTTCCTTCACGTACCTGAGAGCCATGTTGTGGGCTGCCGTTCCCAGAGCTCTCCTCCCCAGGATGCACAGGGCAAAGGACAGGGTCACTAAAGGAGAGTCCTCATCGCTGTCCAGGTTCTTGGAGGGCTGAAAGAGCAGGGATGCTAATTCAACTTTCCCCAGGGTTCCATCATGCACCGACACAGAATCATATCCCAGGGGGCTTTGCAAGTCAGTCACTGTGGTCACTTGGTCCAGTAGCATGCCCCAGGGATGGAGAACCCTCTGATTCCTGAAACACTTTCTCTTGTGGTTGGACATGGAAAAAAATTTGAAATGAGGAAGCTACTTTAGGGGAGAAAAGAGGCTACCATGTGCCTTGCTGACCTAATTCTCTGGAATTTTGAATATGGCACTTCACAGGTGAGGATGGGGGGAGCTTACAAATGAATGCCCACCTTACCACAGGGCAGGGGTGTGACTAGCAGGGAGGGAAGGAGTACAGGAATCATGGGCAGGTGAGGGTTTTCTGTTTTCCCTACAACGAGGAGCCCTGAATTGACCATAAGTCCACAATAAACAGCTAAATTAAAGAGGTCATCTAAAGTCAGCTTAAAAAAGGGGTGGGGGAAATGCAGAAGAAAGAGTCAAAATAGTTTTCACAAGAGAAATGAAATGATTTCATGAATGAAATGAGGAAAGAAGAGCACTATCACAAGGATAGCTAGGGATTACTGATAGATTCTTTGAATACCTCAACCACCTGAACAGGCCAAGCAGGGGTTAAGAAATCAGCACACATTCTCCTTGCTGCATCTGGAGAAAGCAGATTCTGTCACCTGCTCCTTCGACAACCTGTTTTCAATCACTCACGAAAAGGTCAAGGACCTGGATTAGGGTCGTAATTTGGTTTGTCCCCACAAGTCATCGGGTGACATACTTCACTACTGAGGAGCTTGTTTTCAACTTGAATCTACTGTCTCCATCAACGGCATCCTGATCCAGCTTTTCAAACCCCAGGAAGCAAGGTCAACCAACTCCCTCCCTTTGCTTCCCTTCCCTCTCTCCTCCCCTTGCTCCTCCTCCTTGCCAACCCTCCTCCTCTTCTTTTGAGAAGCCGTCATTGTCCTTGGTTTCATTTCTAAGAGGCTGCATTCATCTCCAGAAGTGTCCCCCGCACGGAAGCAATAATGCACAAGAGACACAACTGTGCGAGTGGGTTGGACCATCTTGATTGCTAAACAGATTGGTTGCCTGTCCACGATTCAATACGTCCAGTAACTCCTTTGCATTTCAGCACAGATATCCTTTGTACGGAAATCTCAAAAAGCAGCTCTACACAAAGAAGTTTCCAGAGTTTGAAAGCCATGCCAGAGGCTTAAAACCGCACTATGCCTGAGAACAGTAGAGAGGGAGATACACCTTCAAGGCTCCTTCACTGGAGACAAGGTATATGACTTCTTCCTTTAAAATTTTGCTTAAGTGTTAAATAAACATTTATCCAAATACCAATGTTCTCTCTCCACTATGTTATTATCGTCTACCATACAGTATTACAAGAGGTGGACTTTATAAATGCTCCTTGTGTTTTATATTTTACCCAACACCTCTGGCCCCCACCTCCCTGACCTACCTCTTGTCTCTTCTGTGCACAGTACTGAATCCATTCTAGATAAACGTTACAGTAGCTGGCGCGGGTTATCCCCTGGAGACACGGGACGTAGTCATCATCAACGTTAATGTTGAACATGGCAAGGTCACGCTCGATGTAATGCCACTTGGCAAAGGGCTGCAGAGACTTCAGAAGGGATTCGTTTTTGATCCAGGAGAGAAGTTTGGGGGATGTTACCATATAGTATATTATACTCTGTGGAGAGAAAGCAAGATTTTGAGCCCTTATAGCCATTCTAAAGACAGAACGACTTTTTATTTATTATATCTCATAAAGTCAATCAATGTCAGGGATTGACATGTGGTGTCATTGTATTTCCTGCTAGATTTTTTTTTTAAGATTTTTTATTCATTTATTTGAGAGAGAGAGAGAGCATGAGTGGTGTGAGGAGCAGAGGGAGAAGCAGACTCACTGCTGAGCAGGGAGCCGGACTTGGGGCTCGATCCCAGGACCCCGGGGCAGACACTTAACCAACTGAGCCACCCAGGTGCCCCTTTCCTGCTAGATTTAATGCATAGGAACTCACTTGGGACATTCTAAAATGTCCTCTCTTATGGGTCACCACAGGGATGAGGGAAGTGAGAAGAACAGAACGTTAACAGAATGTACCAGGACAGAAGTTCCGTGGTGAAGAAGAATGACAGCCAGCCCAATCCTTTCTGAGAGAGACACACAAAAGCACCCTTGGGTTACTGCAGGCTTCTGTGGATGCCAAGCATGGCTAATCCAGCCGAAAGAGACTGGGGCAGACCCTCTTCCGGGACCCCAGCTCAGGAGTGTTTAATGAATGAAAACACCAAAGTTCTTATGGAAAGTACTTATGATGTAGAATTGTCGAAAAACACACATGTGTACGTAATCCCGGGTTCCCAGGCGGTGGACATCTGTGATGCTTTCCCAAATAACCCGTGTTTTCCCCTCCATCAGACACGCCACTTAGGAATCCCAACTGGCGAAAATGCCACTGTCGGGCCTTCTCATTCTGAGTCACAGCTTTATTGAAAGCCATCTTGTAGTTCGCGAATGAATTCCTCCTTCAGAAAGGCTAGCTCCCGGCCCGGAGAAGTCAAAATACAGCAGAGAAGGTGAAAATCCAGCTCCAATACAGGCACATCAGCAGCAGATGGGAGAGTACACCTCCCCTGCAACCTTCACTGCCCTTTATTACCACGGGCAAATAGACATGGTGCTCAGTGCCACTGAGGCTGCCGCGCCCCCCCCCCCCCAAACCCTCCCCCTGCTCCGGTAGCCTGGCTTGCATCTCACGTGGGAATCACAAGCAACAGGGAGGGGTGGTATTTGGTGCGAGAAGGCAGTGATGTACGCTCTTATGGCCCCAAACCCTTAATCGATGGCGTTCTCTGATCGTAGACACACGTTCCTCCCGAGGGAGAAGACAGACAGGAACGCACACGGCCTGGGCCTGGCCAGGGCTTAGGGGGCTGGCACCTGTGACTTGAGTGGGCAAAGACACTTTTCTAGGCAGCCTCCTGCCTTCTCTCCAGCTCTTCCCTCCCTTCAGCTGGGCCGTGAAATCTGGAGCACCGAGGTCGGAGGTTGCTGAGGAGTGTCTGATCTCAGGGTGTCTGAGGAGTTTGAGCAGGTGGTCCCCGGATTGGGGCCAAACAATGGGAAAGGCCTGACTAAGCCGTTCTCCGCTGTTCAGACCACCAGCAGCCTGGACTTTGGGAAGGCTAATCTGTGGCTCATGGCGTGTGGCCTTCCTTCTTTGAGGCATATTCCCTATTAGGCTTCATAGCCCACCTGACCCCAAAGTGGGGGAGCAGGGGACCCCAAATGACATCCACAGTTCATGCACTATCGCATTTCTGCAGCACTGTGCCCAGGACAACCTTGCTGGCCTGGAGAAGTCCCTTCAGGGTAAGGAGGGAGGGGACAGAGAGGGAGGGAAGGAGGAAGAGGCCATAGGAAGCTGAGTGGGAGGTGGGAAGGACAGAAGTGCTAGCAAAGTGCACTTCTTTTCATTATTTTGAGGTTTAAAATGAGCGAGTGCACATGAAGAACTCAGCACAAGGCCTGACATCTCTGCCTTACCTACCCAGGGGGCTTGAGGCCCAGGGAGCGAGCAGCAGGCTCAGGTGAAGTCTGGAGCAGGGGTGAGGCCACAGATGACATTAGGGGCCAGGAGAGACCGCTGAGTCTAATGTTCAGAAACGTCAATTCTGACTCTGGAGGGTTTTCTACTGTCTGCTTGCTGGCAGGATAATTTAAAGCTTCTAGGAGGTAGGCAGTGTAAGCAGTTGACCCAAAGTTACAAGCAGAACAGGATCCATGACCGTGGCCAAAGGCACAGTGTCTCTGCTGACAATTACAAAGGCCACAAAGAAATTGGGTCTGCATGAACATCTGGCTCTAGCAAACATCTGGTCTAGTTTTTCCCAATATGTCCTAATTCCATGAACCAGATAGGAACAACAAACAAAACTCGAAGGACGTTTACCTTTTCATTCCTTTCTAGGGGGGGAATGAAAATAACCCCCTCGACCGATGAAGTCAGAATAGTTAACAAGGACTTCAAATCCCAGAGGCTAAAACTTCCTCCCCTAGGTCTGGCAAAATTTTGCAGTGTCGACTTCTCAGCACACCCCCAGCTGGGCTCCCCCTTCTCTCCGCTCCCGCCCCTCCCCCCAGTGCATGAGGAGAATCTGTTCCTCTTGCCCAGAGAACACAGAACACACCCAATCCTTGCAAACCATGCCCCGTTTCTACTTGATTTAGGCAGAAATTCTGTCAGAGAGACGGAGTCAATGAGCAGTGTGCAATCCTTCAGAATCTATCAGGATGAAATGGGTACAACACTAAGTAAAACTGAGAAGTAAGGCTGGAGAAAATGAATTGATGACACAGAACCTGATCCATGTTGAAAGCAAGACCTCTTCTGAATTAATTCACCATATCTGGCTCCTCCAGCAGGGATTCTCCTGGTTTCTCATTTTAATTGTAGATCAGCATATTCTATCAGACAGCGCGTTCTAGGAGAGGGGCCCTGGCAGGCAGCCCCCCACATGTCCAGGTTTCGTGCTCCCCATTCTGCAAGGCAAGCGATAAGCCCCTCTCCTTTCTGAAAGGCTTGGACAGGAACAATGGCAGCGGGAAAACCCGGCCCTCACTGAAAGCTGATTTCTTGACTGCTAAGAGGGTTTTGATCACTAATAAATGGAGGGAAGGAGGAGAAGGCACCAGGGAAAACCTCCAGTCGTCAGGAAGGAAATGATTTCAAATATATTCATAGAGGGTGGCGGAACTGACCCAGTTTATCAGGAGATAAAAAAAATCCTTTTGTGTAATGGAATTATTCCAAGCTTTTCTTCCTTTTTGATTTGCCGGCCCAATAAAAATAATATTAATGATAAAAAGAATGAAACCAAGTTCTTGCAACTTGAAGCAATCCAGCACTACAAAGGTGATTCTGTTCACCACGTAACCAAAGCCAAAGAAGAAAACACTCATTAGTTTTTTACGCTAAAAGACTGCTTCTCCTGTTCTAACAGCCACTCGGCATGCCTGACATTTTCTTTAACTAACTCCGGGGGGGAATGAGCGCAAGTTCTGAGCTACCCCTCACCAAAGGGTGGGCAAGCACTGAGTGCTGTATTTAGAGAAAGCCTCGCATGAACAGCCCCATCGGTGTAGATGTGAATTAACCAGGAGGTGCCGTGATACCCCATCAGCCCCCACATCTCGGTCCTTCCTGAGCATTGATTTGGAATTTAAGAGAAATCTGTTTCTGTTGAGCACAAATACATCTGTAGTCCTTCCCAAGCCTCACTGTATATTAAATCACTTAGGAAACTAATTCAAAAATACAGGTGCTAGGGCCCCTCCCCAGGCCCATGGAATTGGAATTTCTGGGTAGGACGTGCAAATCCATAATTAGCTGGCTTATTCAGGGAGTGTGATGTGACAGGGCTGCCCCCAGCTTGTGAGAAGCCCCCCACCAGGTAGCGAACCATTGCATTGTGTGCCTCTCCTACCCCACCTGAAACTCTCATGTTGGCATCGCTCCCCTTTCTTGGAAAACAGAGTTAAAGGCATTGTTCTCCCACAAACTAAATATTACCCTGGCAGGTTCCAGGGGCCGGGGGGTGCTCCTTCAGCCTCTGCCATTTGCACATTATCCTGGACTTGTTTATCAGACTGCAAATTGCCATTTTAGAAAACGTACAGGGAATTGGGAGGCATGTTTCTTGGAGTTAGGAGAGGAGGAAAGTGAATATCGATCCCTAGTTCAAGGGAGGGAAGCGTTAAAAAGCAGGTCCCAGGTAGTGCCCCCGAGGCCCCTGGAAAAGCCAAGAGGGTAAACCCAGAAAAGGTATCTCATTATCAGGATTCAAAGGAATCCTGTTGAATACAGGAAGGGTCTCTCTCCTTTCTCTCTAACCCATAGTGACTTGCTGTGGCTCCACCATGTGAGCCAGGTCCGCCCACCTGTCTGGCTCATGGAAAGGCTGTTGATGGGGAGCTCCCGATTCACAGAGATGCGGCTCAGTATTGAACCCCATTCTTAACACGAATGCCTACAGCAGGTCACTCAGACTCTTGCCGACATCTGAATCTCATCCACCCAGACTGGTATGGCCTGGACCCAGGATCCATGTTACCTTTGTTCATTCCATCCAAAAAATGCACCGGACACTGCCCTATGCAAGTCATCACACTGAACTCTGGGGACCCAGAGAGCAGTCAGGTATGTGCGGCTCCCGTGCTTAGGGAGTCGCTGGAAGGTGAAGTAGAACAGATTTCAGAGCAAGGCTAGGTGAATGTCGGCACGGGCCCCAGGGTAGCTTGTGTGCACGTGGAATGAGGAGAGAGGAGCTGGAGGAGGATGCCTGGCAGGGGTGGGGGCGGGGAGCACAGGGGAATGTTTGTGCAAAGGGGGGGGCGATGGGGGCAGGGTGGAAACTCTACTGGAAACAACAATGGGGGCTCTAGACGATTTGTACCTGGGTTCCAGACTGCCCAGAATGCATGTTCTCCAACCCCTCACAGCTGGCATGGACAGGACGAGCTTCTGGCCCCTGGGATATAATAGGGACATACTGTGGCAGCTTCCAGGAGGCTTTCTAGGGGACCGGAGGTGCATGCCCTTGCTCTTCATTTCCTCTGTCCTCTATTCCAACCATTTAAGCTTCCATCTTGGAACATGAAGTTTCCAAAATGGTAGACCTGGCGGCTGGAAGGAACCTGGGTGCCTAGGACTTCCTGCAACGGAGCTATCACCCCATTCTTCATTTATGTGTGAGAGAAACATACTTCTCACAGGACCATACCACCGTTCTTTCAGGACCCACTGCCAAATCTACTACCAGTTGATACACTGAGCTTCCTAGGATTGACTCTGTAGGAAAAACTTCTTGCAGCCTAGTTTACAAGGTGGAGGGAGCAAACTGTGGAGTTAGGAAGCAGGAGCTCACCACTCCCTGATTTGCTTTCCAAATCTTCCCCAATGTATGTAAGGCTGGGCAAAACACCTACAGTTTTGTGTGAGGTATGGATGGAAATTTCTGCATCCCTTCAGGATGCATGAAGGTGGTGAGTACAAGCCACTAAATCTGTTTTAAATAGTCAGCACAGGAAAGCATTTCACAAACATTTCTCGTTGCAACTGCCTTGGGATGTGATAATTAAGAGTTATTTAACCTTCTGAATTTTCACAATCTGTCTTCTATTTCCTGTAAACTTTAGTGGTATTGGTGCACACGTGGGGCTCTCCTAAGTAGCTCCGAATTTCTAAACGTCTTCCTTTTCAGTTGGTGGGAACCCCTGAAGCTTCAGGCACCCGTGTTATCTTTCTGTTTTGTATTTCCTCATTTCTGCTGGACCCCCTCTCTCAGCCTCAGCTGGCAGGAAGTCTGAGATCTCAGATGGATGAGTGTCCTCCTTGTAAATGGCATTAAAACGTGGGCCCCTCTGTGCAGGAAACAAACTGAGTGTTGTTGGAGTGGGGGGTGGGGTGGGAGGGATGGGGTGACTGGGTGATAGACACTGGGGAGGGTATGTGCTCTGGTAAGCGCTGTGAATTGTGCAAGACTGTTGAATCTCAGATCTGTACCTCTGAAACAAATAATGCAATATATGTTAAGAAAAAAAAAGAAGAAGAAGAAGGTAGTGGGAGGGGAAGAATGAAGCAGGGGAGATCGGAGGGGTAGATGAACCATGAGAGATGATGGACTCTGAAAAACAAACAGGGTTCTAGAGGGGAGGGGGGTGGGAGGATGGGTTAGCCTGGTGGTGGGTATTGAGGAGGGCACATTCTGCATGGAGCACTGGGTGTTATGCACAAACAATGAATCATGGAACACTTCATCTAAAACTAATGATAAAATGTATGGGGATTAACATAAGAATAAAAAAAAATAAAAATAAAAAACACGTGGGCCCCTCTGAGGGTCAGGCTCCAGGGCTCCCGCCATGCAAAGAGCTCCCTCAAAACAGGAACCATCACAAAGACTTTCTCAGTCTTGGCTGCTCCCACTTGTCCCTCCCCCTTTAGCAAGCGCTGTCGCCCCACTGGGCCTCTGCACCCTCGCTCGAAGCTCACATTAGTTCTCTGGGAGACTTAACTCCAAACACGGACATTTTCTGAGTTGAATACAGGTTGGGCAGACATGGATACTGAGCAACGGGAAAAATATGTGAGCAAGAAAGGCTGTCATAACTAATCCTAATTGAACCATTTTACTATATGTTTGAGTTTTCATTTTAAGCTTAAAAAATAATTCTGGTTCTAAAGTGGAAATGGCAGAGCATTTCAACTGATACTTATAACACGTAAACATGGAGCCTTGGTGATGTTTTCAGGACGTTGCCATATATCATCGCCATCCTCCCCCTAGCTCGGCTGGGTTAGAAGTGAAGAAACAGATCTAGGTAAGAAAAGGAACTGCCTATTAGTGCCCAGACTTGGACAGAGACTCAGGCCGTGAACTCCAGGCAAAACAAAAGCCCTGGAGGATTTTTCACAAAACCAATGGTTCCCAAACTTAGCAGGGGCTCAGATTCAGAAGATAAGGAGAAGCTTCAGAATCTAGCTTTTTGCAAAGCTTTTCAGGAGCTCCTCGAGTCAGCCCAGAACTATTACTCAGACAAGTGTCTGGGGCCCCAGGGCAGCAGTACCTTGATGTAGTACCGGATGAGGATCCTTCGGAGGTCAAACACCTGCAGCATGGTGGCTGCATTGTTGTCTATGATGCTGTAGCCCTCCAGGATGTACTGTGTCCGTGTGATCTCCCAGGTGAGCCAGCGGAGGTGAAATGCGGCATTGCAGGACAAGAAGTGCGGCAGGTGGCCCGGTTTGCAGCAACAACAGCCTCTGTCCTCCTCGTCGCCTTCCATGATGGCCTCGACCTCCCTCTGCTGGCAGTAGGTTCCTGGCAGAGGACAAACACGACGGAAGTCATACAACGAGTCATTGGGGCACCTCGGCTCCAAATGGCCTTTTCCCTTTGCCTCCTCCATTAGAGGGAAGATGCTGAAGAACATCTGGGAATCAGGAGAAGTGTTTAATTCTTTAATTCCCACATGAGTCACAATGCTCATCATCAATTCTTTTCTTCCTTCGTATTCATTCCGACTGCCACCTCCTCCCCATTTTGTGTGTGTGTTAGAGGAGACAGACTTTCATGGTGCTCATGGACACCAATGGTTGAAATGCGGGATGGTTATATCCTTGAGTTCCCTTTTCCAGAAACCTGCAGGTCGCAGCTGAGCACATAGGAGGCTAAACAAAAGTGGCAGGTGGAGATGTCTGAGAGTAAGTTTGGTGCATGCTGAAGTGTTTTCAGGAAGGAAGGCTCCCTGCTTCTTTCCCTGGAAGAGCTCCATTGCCAAATGATCAGGGCATACCACCCATGCTACCCTGCCTCGCATGCCACCTCACCTCACGTGACTGAGGGCAGGATGTGGGGGGCCCTGAGTACATTTCCAAAGGAGTTCATTCCAAAAACAGCAGAAGATTATGGGTATTAACCATTTCTGAAAATGAGACAGCCTAGCTTCCTCAACCTCTTTGTCAATGATTTGAAGGGAAACATACAGAGTATGCCAATGACATGAGTTACTGGTACCACCTGCAATGCAGAGCTGTGACCTAAAATTATCTCCACAGATGGGATGGTGGACTGAAAGTGATATCCTGAAAGTTAATAGGAATACATGGAATAGCCTGCATCTAGTTTCAAAAAAACCAGCCACATGATTTGTGAATATCTAGTAGCACATTTAACAAATACTTGAGCAGTTTCATTGATCATATGTATGAGCCAGAAGTAGGAAAAGGAAAAGATCCTACTCGGAATAGGTTGAGGAGCCTTTGGATGTTTTTAGCTTAGGAGAAATGTAGTCTGATTTATGTTACAGGAGATCGTGCTGGCTGCTTTTCAGAGAATGGACTGTAGAGGAATGAGGGGTGGGAGCCAGGGCATCGGTTACATAGGCTGATAGTTAACACAGATGAGACAGTGGTGATCTAGACAAAGGCCGTTGGGGGAGGTATGGAGAAGTGATTAGATTCTGGATCTCTCTGAAGGTAGTCTGATAGGATTTGCAAACCAATTTGGATATGAGATGTTGAAAGGATGCACAAAGAATGGTGCGAAGTGGTCTGACCTGAGCAAGATGAAAAGTGAAATTATCCTTCACAGAGGAGGGCAAGATCGTGGGGGGAGCAGCCTCTGGGTGGGCAGATGGAAAGATCAGGAATTTTCTTTTGCCTATGTGAAGTTTTAGCTGTTCACTATTAATCAAAATGGAGATGTCAAGCAGACGGTAGGATGAAGAAATCTGGAGTTCAGGACAAAGGTTCTGGCAGAGATCTATAACATTTGAGAGAATTATCAGGAGAGAGGGGCTATTTAAAATAATCTGGGGTGAGGAGGACAGGTCTGAGAGCTGAGCTCTGAGTGTTCCATTTGGAGGTTGGGGATGTGAGGTGCTACTAACAAAATGATTGAATAGAAGTGGCCTGTGAGGTCAGAAGAAAACCAGAAAATAGCAAAAGCCAGTTAAAAAGGAAAATAAAGAGTTTCAAGGAAGAGGGAACATCAGCTATGTTAAATGATGCTTATAGGTCAAATTACATGAGGAATTAACTGTTAGATTTGACAATACAGAGGTAAAAGATAACCTTTGCAAGAGATTTCAGTGTCATGATGGGTGGGGGAGAGGATGCCCTCTTGGAGCGAGTTCAAGACAGTGGGAGAGGAAAAAGCAAGGACAGTTAGTGTAGGCAACACTTCTGAGGAGTTTAAAAATCTTTATGACTTTATTATATTTTTTACACGTATGTTATAATGCTTGATATTGTCCCACAGATCACTGGGTCTCTATTTTCTTTAAACGTTTTATTATTTGCATCAGTTTGAATAGTTTCTATTGCCTTGTCTTCAAGTCCACTGATCTTTTCTTCTATCCTCTAAATGTTTCACCTCAGATGTTGTATTTTATTAATTTTAGAATTTCTCTTTTTCTCCTATTGATAGTCTCCATCAGGTCATTCATTATGATAATTTTTCCTCGGACTTCCTAAAACATATTAATAACTGTTTGAAACTTCTGTTACCTCCAACATCTTTGGCTATGTTTCTATTTATCATTTTCTTTTCCTGGTTATGGGATCCTTTTCTTTGGCTTCTTTTCATATCTAGAAACTTTTATTATATGCTGTATATCGTTGATGCTATAGTGTTGACAGTCTGGTCTTTTTTAAGAGAGAGTTATGTTCTCTTAAGGGGTCATTTATTTGCACATCAGCTTGTCATCTTGATCCTTTTGAAACTTGTTTTTAATCTTTGAGAGTGTCTAGAGTAGATCTCTAGGGTGATGATATCTCTACTTCTAAAGTCTTTCTGGGGTCTCGGTTGAATTCCTGGGATGTTCGACAAGGTAGTCTCCACTGGATGATTCTTGGCACTGTTAAGCCTCCATATTCTCCACATAGCTCACACCTCCCCTGTTACTATTCTCTGCCAGGACTCGTCTCTAACATTCAGCAGGTTAATATTTATCCAATCACTAAGGAGGATCCCAGTACAGATTTTTGCCATACCTTCTCTGTGAAATTCACTCCTATCTGCTACTATGACCCACAAAGTCCTGCTATATTAGCGATCCAGAACTCTGATTCTCTCTCCCTAGCTCAGCAAGACAACTGGATTCTGTTTGGATGCTGCCTCCCCCTACTACAGATAGGAAAGGGCTTCCAGGAAGAGAACAAGGGTAATTATTATGGAGCTTACTTTGTGTGTCTCCTTTCTCTCAATAATCAGAGCCTTGCACTGTCTGTTCAATACCTGAAAGCTGTTGATGAATATATTTTTCCCAGTTTTATAATTGTTTATGGCAGGAAGGATAGTCCAGTACTGGTTACTCAGCCATGGCTGAAAGGGTGACTGTCTGAATCATTCTACATGTCTTTTGAGACTTAATTCAAACATGAAAACTGTCCCTACTTTCATTTCCATACCATTCACTTTTTCCAAGATCCCATATCATTATTCACAGTGCCTGGTACATAGTGGGTGCTAACAAAGTGGTTGGTGGGATGCCTGAATGAATGACTGAATGAATAAATAAAAGAAAGATATTAATCCAGATCACTGTATGCACAGGCAACAGATACCTATTGAGAAAATGCACAGCAGATTACATTATGCACGTGGCAGATAAAGTCAATGTTGGTACTAAGCTTCTCTTATAGTACAAATGAATGGGTCAGAGATGGAAAACTACAATCTTCAAATAATAATGTACACACAGAACTGTTAGGATAACAGTCAATGAAATAGGAGTCGACCAGTAAGGGGTTGTGTAACATAAAGTATAACGGTGAAGGGCTGATCCCAGATCTTGTGATTCCATTTGTCTTTCCCCAAAACTTCACTGCTTTGGGTCTTAGGTGAAAGCAGTCTTTTTAAACATTTCAAGGGTCTCTTAGCTCATTCTGCAATATAAAACCATAGAGATGTATATAAATACATACATGAACTAGAAGCAGTGAGTAATTCAGACTGCATGCTCTGGGGCTTCCAGAGTGAGCAATGACCCCAGTGTCCTAACCGATCTGCCCACTGGGACCCTAGGACGGCAGGCACTAGACTCTGGGCGTGGCAGATGTTCCATCCACCAAATGGCACACCAACCACACTGGTGTCCTGCCAGGAAATAATATAATTCAGCAAGAAACTCTCTTTCAATGAAGAAGTGAGGCAGTTCTTAGGCTACATAAGGAAGAAGCAGAGAAGAGGATTTTCACCTCAAATAGACGAACAAATCTGGTTAAATGACATGTCTCAAAAATCCACATTTCTTTCCAATTTCTCTCTCCATACTTCTCCATCCAGGCATTTATCATGTGGGGCTGAATGTCAGGGTTGGTTTTTTTCCCTCTTACATCAAACAAACTGGAAGGTGTGTGTGTGTGTGTGTGCCCGTGTGTGTGCCCGCACGCGTGTGCGCGTGCGCATGCGCACCATACAATGCAGAGTTTAGATTTCCACCACATGAATGAGATAAGTAAAACCACACACCATGAGGAACGACATTGACGAAAGGACAGGTGAGGACACAGTGCGCCATGAAGGACCGCCACTCAACAGAGACATCATAACTGCTGCAGGCTTTTAATTAACAGTTAAGGTAGGTGCTGAGACCTTCTCTTAGGAGCAAAAGATGCAGGGTCAGGATCACATTGTAAAAGAAGATGAAAATAAGAAACTCAGTCATTTCTGGACATGCACTAATTTGTTGCTCAAATGCAAGTCAAGACCATAGTCTTCTCGGAGAGGCTCACAGGGTTTAGAGCACATTCCCTCCAAAGGGAACCCCAGAGGCCAACTGTTCCCACACTGTGACCTCTCACACCATCAGTGTCAATGAATGATGAGCGGGCTAGCTATTTCTGTCTGGTGTTTCCATTGAAACCGACTTTTGGCATCTTTTGTGTTGTGGTGTTCTCATGGTCTGTCAGCGGGACATAAGAAGGCATTCAGTAAATAATTTTTGAATTATTTTGAGAATGTCTTAGGGTCTTAGTTCTGATAGACAAGAATGCCTAATTAAAGCAGAAGGAATTAATGTTTGGAACTGAAAATGTACCTAGTAGATCCCAGATGTCTTGCCACACAGGATACGTATCCATTTCCTGAGTGTGGCCACCATGTGGGGCGGCCATTCCTGGCATACCTGGCAGCCCTCCTGACCTCTGACCCTTTCTTCTTCTCTTTGTCGGTTCCCCAGACAGCAAGCACTGCTCCCCTTTAAGTGCAGTTTGCCGTATCTACCAGCGACAGGCCAGGCTTGGCTTATTTATTCACACTTATTTCCCAAAAGGAATGAAGTCAATTTAAATAATATAATTCAGCAAGAAACTCTC